TATCTAGGGAAACAAGCCGTATATATAAGTACTTAAGATTACTAGTTATAAGCTCTATGAGGTTAATTAACTATTATAATAACTATTCAGTAGTATTAAATATATAAAGATCTCTATCTTCTTCTGTTTAATCACAAGAAGTGTATATCTTTAATTCAGAAACTATGTATGTCCTTTATATATGTTGTATTCGCGTTCTATTAGTGACATTCTTATCATGAAACATGACAAAGTCCTCTGTCCTTATTTTATCATTTTGTACTTAAGCGTCATCAATACAATATTATGTTGTTACTATCCTTCATTTAACTCCAAAATATATTATATTTGTGTTAGCATCATTGTCTAATACATTTCATTTGGTATTGTCAGGTAATTTATATAATTCTCTACAAAAATCCCAATATTATAACACACGAAACCATAATTAACACTTTATTTGCCATACAACATAATTAAAACTTGAGAATTCTTCTCTTAAATTCGATTCATTCCTAATCTAGAATATTCGAGTTTTGCAAAATGTATTGTTTGATCCGGAGTATTAAATATTAATGTATTAAGTATTTATCTAGGGAAACAAGCCGTATATATAAGTACTTAAGATTACTAGTTATAAGCTCTATGAGGTTAATTAACTATTATAATAACTATTCAGTAGTATTAAATATATAAAGATCTCTATCTTCTTCTGTTTAATCACAAGAAGTGTATCTTTTACTTCAGGAACTATGTCCTTTATATACGTCATGTCAGTTGTCTATTAGCGTCATTCCTTTTAACAAACATGACAGATCCTCTTTCCATATTCCTGTCATCTTGTACTAATATGGAATCAATACAAAAATTTCATCTCATGTTTTCTCGTTTTTAAAAATACTTCGGACTTCTAAATTTTCAATTAAAGTGGCAACTTGGCCGAGTGGTTAAGGCGAAAGATTAGAAATCTTTTGGGCTCTGCCCGCGCAGGTTCGAGTCCTGCAGTTGTCGAATTTTTTGATTATTCTTGTTACTAGAAGTTGAATACTTTTGACCTAAACTTCATTATTTTTTTCTAATTGATTAGATTTTTTATCATACAATTAAACATTGGTATGTTTAAAACATGTGTCATCATTTTATTTATAATCATAGCTAATCATTCCAATAAATGTCATTCAAGTTTATCGAAAACATATCTTAGTATCGTTCCTTAAATTAAACAAAAAAATGTTAGGAATTAATATCCTGATTAATTCGAAATTTGAACGATTGAGATTTCCTGAAGTGTTTGTTCTTATCCAAGTTATGTAACTATTTAGAATAACGGCAACTATTCAATTTTACTTCTGGATATGTGTTCTTAATTTTTAAATTATGAAAAAATAAAAGTCAGACAAAATCGTTAAAATTTGAAAAAAAACTTTCCTTAGGTAGGAAAAAACAAGACAATTCTTCGAAGTTAAGAACTAAAAACAATTTAATTTATTATGATATAGCCTATATAACCAGAAAATTATCAAATACAAACTGTCACATAGCCTTCACCAGGTTCAAAATCCATATCCATATTGCTATTATGAAGGATATATATAATCTCTTTAGAATAACCATCAATATTATCCAGTCTAAACAAAAATTTGTGTTTGTAATTCATCAACATAGAGAATACTCCATATCACTTTCAAGCCACTAAACAAGTGATAATCTTATTGACTAATTTCATTTATAGCAATTTCTAAAATTCGAAATGTCAGTCTCTTTATCTGATTTTGAAAATTTGCATCTGTTCCAACTATATCTGTTGCAAAATTTAGAATTAATAAGAGTTTAAAACTATTTAAACTTTTTAATAAGAAACGTTTTTTAATTGGTACTTTTCGAGAAATCCATTTGACATGACACATTAAATGTGAAAATTAATGAATAAAACTATATCTGGAATCAATAATTAACCTGTACTTTTAACATCCTTAAAAGAAATTATATTAAATTAAACAGTCAATATTGGAGTTATACCCACTATATGCCTCAAATTTGGTACTTTTAAAAGATGCTAAATGATATTTGATATTTTTTATTATTGAGGTATATCGGTTATCCAGTAAAAATGATTGATTTGAATATAATAATATTTATTTATTTCATTATTCACAATTTCAAATAAGTCTGAGTTCATTCATAAAAATATTTTTAGAAGTGATTAATTCTACAAAAAAATGAATTTACTATTTTGTAACCTTATTATAATTTTGTTGAATAAAATGGTTACTACTCGTATAATGATTTTTATAAATAAAAAACTCTCTAATATATTTCCGCCACCAAAATATTGGAATTAAATTTGTAGACTATTATTCAACTCTTTGCATCTAACTGATTATGAAACATCGTTTGCTTGCTGTTCTTATAAACTAAACTCATTTTCTAACAAAATACAGAATAGAGAATACAGACTAAGAATAAAAATCAATCCTGAGGTTCGGCAAGTTCCGATGAATTATGTCACTTCCGTTAACTTGGTACGATTATATGATATAACTAATAAACTATATTGGACCCATATGCAATATATTACAACTTTAGTTACCACTCTAAAACACAATATATCCTGTAGCTTATGTATAGGATTATTTAAGCAAAATTGCTAAAAATTAGCACTATGAAAAGTAATAAAATTTTTGCTTACCAAATATTATTGGATAATTTAATATACGTCATATACTAATATTCAACACCTTTATTGGATACATCAGGAACTTCAATGTTTAATCGAATTGAAATTTGAGTGTAAATACAATGTCAAAAAAAAAAATTCTTTTGACACTTAACTCATATTTCAGATTATTTCCAAATGATCGATTGACTCGTAAAACTTATAAGTTAAGAGTAGCTCATTCTTGCAGCAGGAATAAAAGTTGATGCATAATAATTGAGTAACATAAGAAGATTCCATATAATTGACCTACATTGAGACTTACTAACAAAATAGGTTTAGTGAAGAGACCTAAGTATCGCGTCGTCAAAATGAAATCAAATAAGAATATGAAATAGTCTCATATTTAACAACACCTTTTAAGTATATATACAAAGGATGAAATAATATCGAACCATTTAAAATCAATTTAATTTTTTTTTGTTAGGCTGAGTTCCTCAGATACTATTTTTACTTCAGGATTGATTGATTACCTTAATCGTTAAATACTATAAATCTGTAATTTTCCAGTATTTCAATTTTCAAAAACTCGTACGATTTCTCTTTAAGATCTCTGCAACATTATTAGTCAATATATTCATATAAAGACAGATCCTATAATAAGATATGGCACTATTTTCTAAAGCTATAGAACAGCCCCTATTGCTGGACTAGTAAAATTTAAACGGGCTATATTTTTTGTAAACTATCCAGTACTACTAAGAACTTGTAATAGTGAAAGATTAATAATTGAATAAAAAATTGAAAAACATTGGTAATTCTTGATGAACTAAGAACTCATCAATTTTAAAAGGTACATCGCCTGCTATTCAAATTTCTCTTACTACTTTAAAAACCTGTAAACTTCACTTAGAGTTAATTTGTTCAATGAAGGAAAAGGATGAAAATTACTATAATAATATTTCCTCAAAAGCAAGAATCTTATGATTACTTAGTTAACGAACAAGTGTCATTTAGGCTCTAACAGTAATTTTAACTCCATTTCTAACTTTCAATTTAATGTTTTATCCATCAATTCCTAGCGATTGACAGAAGTAAAAATCATGTATCGACTTTGCTAACTCCATTCAAAAGTCTTAAACGAATTAAGATGAACTAGAGCTAAATCGGTACTCATAATTATAATTTACATGTGCCTTTCATTTCTGTAAATAACCACTTTTGAGATAAAACTATAGGTTAATTTATTCTTGGTATTGTGTTGATCAACTTCTAATTGCCTAAAGCACATTTCTTAATTACCGTATTTGTTACAGTAGAATTTGAAGCTCACCTTATTAATAAATAAGAGCATGCTGACTTCGATTACGATTTGTTTTGGGTTGATTGGATCTAAAATTTTAAGTCTCTCTATTCAGAGAAATCTGGGGACAGGTTTATTTTACCAAATTATATGTCTTGAAATCAATTTCAATCCTCAACAACAAAGTTAGCTTCTGAAATGAAAATAAATTTTTCAAAACATGGTAGTCCTTCGGGAAATCTATTCTTAACCTCTAGAGTAAAGTGACATCAGACTTAACAAATAAATGAATTGTCTAGGTACAATAATCAAAATGATAATATACCCAGCACTATTGCTGATTATTTCATCAAATTATTCATCAAATTATTCATCAGCTTTTTTTGCCCGACCGTAAATAAATAAACAGTTCCGGCAATTAAATAAAGTTGGACAATTAAACCAAGGATAGTTTAAATACCTTTCGATTCTACTCGTCCTAAAAAGGGATGAACTATGGGGCTATCTTTACTTGCTTTAGATATACTATCTTCGTAAATTCAACTACATTAGTGCCAATTAGCTAAACAGTTATTAATCTCCTTTGCGAACAATTTATGGTAACTATGCTATTATTCAGCATGTTTCCTTAGTAAGAACTCTTCGATTAAGATCAGTGCACTTGCTTGAGCTATTATATCTCTGATAAAATACTTAATTCCTTCTACTTTCTTTCAAATAACATTTATATTTAACTTTTATTTTCCAGCTTTTAACATTGAGTTGATATAATTTTCGATACTGTATCTTAATCAAAACACTTCGAAGAAGTATGATTTCATGATAAAAATCCTTTATTGTTTTAAACCTAGATTGAAATTATAATAAAAATAAGATTTTTTTTGAATAGTTTTGTTTAATGAATCGAAATAGATTATAACACATATAATAAAAGAAACCATTATTTAATTTTATTTTCGTCAAAGGAGAGTTGACCTAATTGACAGCTAGCAAAACCTTAGAAGACAAAACTTATATTGCAACGGTAATCTGTATTTTTCACAATTAATTGATATTCTCTATATGAATTCGAAAGACAGTGGGTTTTCATCTGACAAGTATCCAAATTCAAATAAACCACAAGCAAAACCCTATGGTTCTTCAAATTTTTTACCAGAAGGACTTAACAAACACGGAGCTTCTGGTGATATGGCAAAAGGTGCAATAAACAAAGGTATTTTAAATTCGCAACTAATGCCTGAAACTAAGAATAAAAACATCATAAATGGCAATCGAGATATATCTAATGCTGTACTCCAGAGTGGTACTGCAGGTTCAGGTGGAAATCCAATTTTTAAAATAGGTTGCACAACAAACTCGAGTGGTCATGACGTATTCTCTCAACCATATGCTATAGCTGCCAATCAACTTTCAAATAATCAACAGCCGAATAGAATAAGTTTAGCACACATGAGACCTCTATTGAGTACAGTTAGATCGAATCAATCACAATCACATTACTGGTATAAAGATGGTATAGCAAATGAAAAATTCTTCCATAGCCAACAATCATATGATAAATTAGAGAAAGTTGAAAATTCTAAGATTATGCTACCTCCAGTGGGAAATCATGATGGATTTAGTAGGAGTCAGGAACCATATCTTAATAACGAGTTATCATATCATGATGCTAACAACTCTGACAGTTTCAAAAGTACCTCATTAATAGAATATCAAAGTCACTTTCCTTATAAAAGATTGAATCATGACCATATAAGAAATTCCTCTCAAATAACGAACCAGCTAGGAAGCCCATATGAGGCTTTCAGAAAAGAATCTCAGTTTCCAGTATTTGCAACAAATCAATGGACAGGAGCTAATATACCTAACAATCAAATCTCATCAGCTAACCATTCAATTTATAGTCAAACACATCCCAATGCTGAAGGGCTAAATTCAGAAAAATCCATGATCGAAAGTGTAAATACAACTTCAAACAATCAGCATCCTAATAGTGGCGCCATTAACCAGAATTACTTTCACCAAACCCAAGTACCTAATTACCAAAATATGGAATATAGAAATAGTTTATCAAACGTGCCATCTATTATTAACCGCCCTTTAGCCCTTTTTGGTCCGTCTGTTACAAGAAGTAATGAATTACATCTACCAGAGCCATCTTATTATCATCAGAATTTAACAGCTACTGAAAGGCTAATTGATAATCAAATGTTCGTACCTAACTCGCCTACTGTGCATTTGATGGGTAATAATAGATTTGAAAATGATAATAATGAGATAACAAAATTATACAATCAAAAAAAGCAGCAAACGTCAAACAAAAAGGCTACATATGAGTGTTCTGTTTGTGGAAAAAGAGTTACTAGAGCTTATTCCTTGCATGCACATATGTTAATTCATACCAAAGTTAGACCATATAAGTGTGATTGGGAAAATTGTGGCAAAACCTTTAACGTCAAAAGCAATTTGAATAGACATGTTAAGATTCATCTAAAGAAACAGAAAAACTCTAACAAGGGCTAGACAGATGGCACTCATAAAACAAATTGTAGATCATATTTTCAATACCGATGTTTATCTTTTTAACGGCAAAAGGTTTTTTAAAATACAGGTGTGTTTTAACCACAGTAGTTTCAATAACATACATCAACATTGCATTATTCAAAAATATCAAAGTGTAACATTAACAAGTCATTGTCATAATACCTTCCTGGTTTCGTATCCCAGCCAAACTATCATACAACATGTATGTATGTCCGTGAATTAGTGGAACTTTGGATAGAGAGAATAACACATTATTCTGTTCGAAGTATATATCTCATTTATTTATTATACCACTTCCCAACAGTATTGTCAGCATAATTGAACTTAATGGTACTTATTCTGACAAAGTAATTAGCATACCATAGAGTTAGCATAACTTAATCAACGTGTAGTTTCAGCATGAATTTGATATAAAAATAGATCTTTGGAAATTACTGAATGTCATTCAAAATGTATCTTTCAGCATTCATATATAATATTTTAATTTCTAATTTCAAATCAAAACTGTTTTTTTGTTTATTTATATTCCGACCACTGTATTTACATTAATTGAATTGAGTAATACTTCAAAATTCTATTTTTAACTGACCATATATTGGTTGGTCAATTGAATATTTTCAATTTATATCAGAATACTCTTCTTCTGATGCTGTTCTATATATTTGTTTGACAAAGTTCGTTGAATATTTTCTATTTATATCAAAATATTCTTTTTCTAATGCTGTTCTACATATTCATTTGACAAAGTTCACTGAATATTTCTCATTTATTTATTAGTGGTGAATAAAAGTGTACTTTAGTAACTAATTCTTCCCAAAAAACATAACGAAAGGATGTCGATAGCTAGGAAATTATTTTTATTTTATCATAATCAACTGGTCTTCACATCACCCAAATTTTTATTTTTAAAGTGTATGTAATAATGATATAAAAACAACAATAATAGTAATAAATTAATCATATTTTAATGTAGTGTTTATCACTGTAATGATGTATAGAATCTATTAAATTCTCCATGAAATTTCCACAACTAATCCTTTTCAGGGTTAGGGTTTTCCTCTTTGTTAAATATAACCCTATATTTTCAAAAAAACACTCGTAATTAACGGCCGGAGCAGGGAAAGTACAGTAACCATAAGCCCTAAATAACTAAAAATAGATTCTTCACAAGCTCAATAAGTCTATGTATGTAAAAGGTAACAAAAGCTTAAATGGACTTGATAGGGAATGGAATCATGAAATAATATAGGATTTAGTTATGACTTTGAAATTCTAGCTAAACATAATATCATTTTTGAAACGTATTCTTGTCATATGGGCAGATGAAAAATATTGTTCTGTTTTGAACATTATTTCATCATCTAGTGTGAATGTCAAATAAAAATAGTTTTAAATATACCGGATTTTATCCAAAATTAATGCAGTTCACAAATTTGGGAAAGGCACAGTAATTTCGATCAGTAGATTAACATATAATTGATGGACACCAAAAATAAAATAAAATACACAACCACTCCAGAACAAAGAGCACATACATACACTTTGCATCTATCTTGTCTCTGACCTAACGTTGATTACCTGAAAAGGCAAAACCAATAATTTATATTTCAAAGACTAATATATTCAGTCTGTCGTAAAATGCACACGTCATTAGGACACGTATATCTTTATATTTTATATGTGATATGCTGTGAACCGGACAAGAATCTGAACCCTGTCTGCTGCATTCCCTTTCCTTGTTGACTCATCACCGTCAATCAAAAACATAGATCAGTTTGTAATAAGAACTTTTAGAGATTCTTGCTTTCCCAGACGTACGTGGCCAATTTTTTTCCCTCTTTCTTCATATTTCAATTAGTCTAGCAACTATATCAATTACAATTCCAACATATATCGTTTACGAGAACTCCCAATCCCATTTACCATTTCTACTATTGTTTTTTTTGACAAGTCAATCAGTCACAAAGGAAAGTAAATCATTATCTGTATATCTAGCTCTTTATATAATAATCTTGTTGGACTCCAAAAAAATAAATTAGTTAAAATGTGAAAGTGAGGGTATTTTTATTTTACCCGCATAAAGAGATAGGCGGCTAATTTTCTGTTTCTGTTTCTATTATTAGAGTTTTGTTTATATATATATATGTTATACTAACAAGGTGTGTTTCAGTTTAACTTTTAGGATTCTTTGATGAAGTTTAAAGGTTGGAGATGAAGAAGAGCAAGGGAAGCTGGTCATGACGTGTGTGAGTGGCAGGAAATCCAATTTGATTAGAGAGATGTTGAGGGGGATTGGAATGAAGTGAGGGTTCTTTTCTGGTAGGAGTTGGTATACTATTTTATATTAAAATTGGTGTTTGTTATGGCTTTTTATTTTGAGAGGGGAGGAGTTGTTGTGAGTGTTTGAGGTGTTTCTTGTAAGTTCCCATTTCTAGTCGATGTAGGAGTTGGAGACATTACTGAGGGGAGATACTGTTTGTGGGCCATGTCAAACGTTTAAGAGGGAGCAGAAGGGGGAAGGGGTGATTGTTTTTTAAGAAACTTCCATCTCTTATATCCTCAAGATAAGCTGTGTTCCAGCTGGTATGGATTAGATTAAGATGTGTCTGTTTGGAATTTGGAATGCATGCTTGGAAACAAAAGTTACGCTTTTTCTACCTTTTCTCTTTATAAATGGGATCTGCTATGTATCCCTTGTGGTATCTCCCCTATTTTTGCCACCTTTACCCTGCCTTTAAATGCCCTCTATTTAAATTTCCGGTTTTTGAGGAGAGCGCATATCACGTGATACCGTCAAATCACTGATGGACAGTTTGGAAGAACAGTTTGCCGGAAAAGAAACGACTGGCCAGGGAAAGGTCTTGTCAATGAAGAAACCAAGCAAGAAGAACCGTGGAAAAATTTTAGAACACAGACAGGGTGCTTTGCGGTATTTGAAAATTTAACAATAGTTAGTATGGACAGAGATAAGACTACTATTTTCTTTATGAAGGCCAAGAGAAAGAAAGAGAGAGAGGGCCAAAAGAATAAGAAATACAGGTTATATTTACGCCTTTCTTATAGCTCAACTAGGTCTCTCACTTCTAAAAACGCCGATGAATACAATTAGCCTTTTTTTTCCTTTCGAGACCGTACTTCGGTTTGGTTTTTTCGATCTAAGCTGAGAGAACCCGCTAATGTTTATATTTATATTTCTTTTTTCCTGTGTTTTTGCACTAATTGAAAGTGGTAATTGACTAGAGTCTAGTTGAATTAAATGGAATTGTTGGATACCAAGCGGGATGATAATTATTGATTGTTATTTAATCCATCTGGCGAAAATAGAACTGATGTAGGAAAAAGAGTCTCTCTAGCCATTTAAGGCTAAGTTTTTCTTTTTCTTTTCAAATTTGAAATTTTTCCCTTCTTCAAACAATATTTTGTGAAATTGTACATACTTGAATTTTGTTCCTTTCAATATCTTCTTCACTCATTGTTGTTTTATTCATTTTGAAAATTATTTCGTGAACTCCTCTTTGATCCTTATTGAAAATAATTTTGATTTTTGTTGTCTTACTTCTCCTTATCATTCACTGTACTGACAAATTTTAATTGTCATTTAATTTGTCATCTTTTTTTCTTTATTTTATTGAACTTCTATATTTACTTGGTGATATTTTTACAAGGTCAGACAGAAAAAAAAAATTTAGATAAGAAAAAGAAAATTTTTAGTGGAAAAATAGGGTACTAGTAATTATTGATCCAAACAACGTTTGTTTCATTTAGTTAAAATTCCTGTTACTCAAATCCGATTTCATAAACTTCCTATCATCCATCGTTAGTGATTTAAAGACAAACTTTATTTTTTTTCCTTTCATTAAAATTTTTACTTTGTTTTGTTTTCGATTTTGTTTTTTATCCAGGATAATTCTTCATTTTAAGTTGAACATCGATTCTTTATTTTTTAAAGAATACCAATTCATATAACAAGGAATTATTAACGATTCATTCCTATATAGCTTTCATTATTCAATTCTCAAAGGAGACTAATTATTGATCTAAAACGAATATATAGAGAAAAGAATTGACATAATCATCGCTAAATACACAATGGATGGTTATAAATATCCTCATAACCCGAATAGCCAACCGGGCAATATTAATATGAATTTGACTCCTAGTATGCAACAAGTGTTAGGTACAGGTATGATTCCTATGGCTTCCCCCCCACCAAATGGATTTGATCAAAATCCAGGCCTAGTTATGAATTCTATGACTCCACACCAACCAATGATTCCACAAAATTATAGAGAGTTTTATCCTGTTATGACCCAAGATTCCAATGTAAATACAATGATTCCAAATAATAATGACTTAATGATGAAAAATATAAAAGATAACCAGCATGTTGTTGGTTCAGCAATTAAATCCAATGTCAGTACTACAAAAGTTCAAAAACGAAGAGTTGCAAGGGCATGTGATAGATGTAGGAAAAGAAAGATAAAATGTGATGAGATCAAAAATTTAAAAGTAAACAAATGTTCAAACTGTGTTAAATATGGTGCTGAATGTACATTCAAGAACTGGGAAGAGCACGATTCACAAAATCTGTTAGCAGCTTCTAAAAACGATAAAAATAATAACCTTTCCAACTTTGATAATGATAAAAATAAACTTGATAATTCAAGTAATATTAATACTCCTGCATCTTCTACATCACCAGCTGATGTAATTCCACCTTCAAAAGTGACAAATAATAAAATTGAGAAATTAGATAGAAAAGTTTCTCTTATATTTGACCATATTGCCAAACTTGAATGGCTGTTGGACAAAATCGCAACAAACCAGAATATCACGTCAACTAACAACACTTCAAGTCTTACATCAAATTTAAACACCGTTGCACCTCTTTTTACTAATACTCGGAATAAAGCAGAATCTAGCTTAGACAGTGAAGGTACTGAATCAAGCTCGAAGGAAAAAAAGAAAAAAAATACCTATATTTTCAATATGGTTGGAAACACAACTATGATGGCCAACAGTGAAAATCTAAAGTATTATGCAAGTTCACTATTAACTACACCAAAGTTAAGATGGGTTCTTGAAAAGCTAACCGAAAAAGGAGAGTTAACAAAAGAAAAAATAGATGAATTTATCTGTCCTATAAAAGATGTTATATCTGTGACGCTAAAATGGAATGTCGTTCAAACGAAGAAATTAATGGATTTTAGCTCCCCAATTTATATCGATGGCATTCCTAATCTAAATTCATTGCCACCAAAGGAACAGTCAAAAAGATTATTAGAAAATTTCAGGGCAACAGCGCTTTCCTCAGTTACTGGCTTGATCGGACTGAATGATTATTTAGATATTGCTGACAAATATTATGATCCCAACTATGGCCGCCATAAAATGTCCTATTCAGAACTTCTTCTTTTAAACATTGGTGTATGTTCAGGTGCTTCAATAACTCAAATGATGAGAACAAGTGATTACCATCTAAGGAAAGATAGATACGATCCTAATAAAGATGAACTGAAAATAATTGAAAATAATGCGTTACTTAATGCTATGTATTATTACAACAAATTGCTGATGATGAGCGAAGGGATAAGAACTATACAAGGTCTTTTGCTATTGAGCGGTTACTTGCAAGTTAATCAAGGTATCGAAGTCGCTTTAGGTGTCTTGGAAACAGCAATAAGATACTCTCTTGAAATGGGACTCAATAAAGTATCCTTTTATGAAGGATTATCTTTAGACGAGTTAATGATATACACCAACCTTTGGTGGAGGTGCTATTCCAAAGATAAATCATTTTCATTAATTATGTCAAGACCGCCTATGATAAAAGAAGATTCTATGGATATGTTTAATAGTCAGACATTTTTGTCTTTAATCAAAAGTGTTCTTTCAACTAGAGATTTCGATAACAACCAAGTTGAACTGGATAAATTAAAAACCTTAAAAGACGCTCTGAACTATATCATTAATTTTTGTGAATATGTACCTTTATTCATCTCATGCTTCATAACTGAATTGATACTTGTCGAGGGTAAAATATATGAGGATTGTTTTGCACTAAACAGTTTTGCCAATACCCCATTCGACAAAAACTTAGAAAAAATCTTAAGATTACACAATAGGCTTCAAAATTGGGAAGCTGACTTACATCCATGTATGAACTTGAAAAGTTATAAACAATGTTTATCAACCTTATATGTGCAGAATTTGGATGGAAATCCAGCATTATTTTTTGAAATTGCATGTTTTCGTGTTTTAAAATGCCATTTTCATTACTTCTATTTGAAAGTTGTCTTATGTTTGTTTGGCTCAAGCTACTTAATAGATAATGAAGAATTCTTTTCAAATTCAGTTTTAGATATCCCTTCCATTTACAGGCTTTTTGCCGATGATGCCAAAACTTCATGTATAAAAATGTTAGAGCTATTCCAAACCTTTGACTATCAACCTTATGTCAATGACGAAATAATGTACTATTTTTTGACTGGGGTGTACACATTGTTCTTCTATGTTATTAAAAATATCGATAATGAAGAGAATGACGAGATACCTGTTATTATAGAGCTACTACAATCAACGCATACCCATCTAATCGGGGAAAATCAGGAATCTTTGGTATCTGATAATATGAAATGGAATACGTCTATCTTTTTTTACACATTCCTACTACAACAAGTTGTGACATACTTCAACAAGAAGAAAAGAAAAGATTGCGAAGTAAATATCAATGTCCAGCAATATTCTGAAATGCTAACAAAAGTTTTAGATTACTCTAAGGCAATGAAAAGGGCAGCAGTTGATCAATTGTTTGAACTTTTAAAGAAACACTCTTTTTCTCCAAATTTCGTGAATTCAGAAGAGTGCCATTTGGAATTAGAAACACCAGAACTTGTTAAAGATGATTCCTCAACAGAGCAATATTTGCCATTATCAACGACACTATTCAAAGAGTTGACTGTAGATAATTTAAAGAAGTTGCGTTATGATTCAACTAAATTAGGTCCTGAAATCTTTTCACCATCTTCAAATCCACCAGTAGCATCACTAGCTGGGGGAAAATTCCTAATGAAAAAAGATACCTCGTTATTCCCAGTAGAATCACAGGAATTTACTACTGTATTTCCTGCGTATCTGGTATCTCGTGGTATCGGTACAAAAGACTCGAACAATGATTTAGATAAAGAGAAATTAGTAGAAATAGAAAAAGTAACTGCAAAGAAAGCAAAAGATGGCTCAAAATTAGATGCACTATTCACAGATTCATTCTGGCAATCTGATTTATTTTATGATAGAGAATTTTTCTTTGCCACGGCTATAAGAGATCGCAAGATTTTAAAACGATAATGAATACTGCAGTTTAATCTAGTAAACATACATTCTTTGGTATTTTAATATGAATTGATAAGTAGGCATACATATAGAAAAGTATATTGTAATATTAACGTTAAGTGTAATAATGATCTCATGAAAGATTTTTCAAATGTCCCTTTATTACGAGTATAATGACCAGAACAATGTTTCGAAGTAATTCAGTTGTCGTTGATGACAAACCGCATTTAATAATTCACCAATGAGAGTAACTCTTTTGTGAGTGATAAGGTTATTGACTCAGTTTTATTAAATTTATAAGTTTCACTTCTAAGTTCTCTTTCATAGTATCTCCATGTTTTATAATCAGTAATTACCGGTGATGTTTTTAGGCAAATTAAAAGTAATTCCAAAACATTAGATAAATTTTTAAAGTATTTCTTAACATCTTTGTTGTAAATTTCCTTACTATCTGATATCATACTTAAGTCTAAAACCGAATCTCTTAAACAAGTGTCGCATTGATTGGACACTTCTAAAGGCAATAAAAATTTAAATATCTCAAACAGAAATTCCATTAAAAGTCTAATTTTGTGTGGCCAGAATAGAGTTTTATAATTTTTATTCCAAATCCTTTCTTGTAGCACATTGATTTTATCATCATTTTTCGTTCTCATAAATTCAGAATGAATTGAAAAATAATCACTACTGGCCAACGTCAACTTGAATATCTGGCTTATATCCAAATGTCCAGATTTGGAATTGATCAAGGGTGTAATTAATTGTATTGCCTTCTTAGAATTTTGCAATAAAGTAATTTCAAACAATTTTTTATTCATAAACAATATAAAGTTTATTTGTTCAATTAATTCTTTGATATCACACAACAGTCTCTTTTTTAAGTTACTTTCAGTCAATAGCTTATTTAAATTTGAAACAATCCTGCAATTTAGCAATTCAAGATTATTGCCATAGTTTGATAAATTACTGTCGTTATTAATAATAGTAATACTGTTATTCCTCTTCTGTATTAGAGAAATGGCTTCAAAATAATATATCGAACGATGAATTTTATACGCATTTTTACGGTTGTTTGAAATTAATTGATTAAGGTCTTCTTCCAATGCTATCGTAGATATATGAGTTCTGTTTAATGAGCTCTGTTTAGATTCTATCACATTCTTATTATCTTGCAATTTTTTATTAAGGTTGCTTACTTCCAAATTGAGCTGATCAAAATTTAGAAATCTCTTTTTAGTGAAGTAAAGGACGTCTGTAAATAATTGAGAAATTGTTGAGTTCTCATACTCGTAATTAAATTCATCAATATTATCAAATTCAGTCAATTCTTTAAAGATCTCGAACAAACTTAAATAGGATTCAGACCCAATATCTATAACAGTATCGTCATGACAACTACTATCACAACTGTTTCTAATGTCCCAGTTACCATTACTAGAATCTGTCCCAATTTTATCTACAACATTTGAGTTTGATAAATCGACCAAACTTGCTAGAGATAGAACGCTCTTACCATATTTCCAAGAAAATGTATAATCAGAATCTGAAGATGTTATTTCGTTATCATCTCTTATTGAGTAGTCACTTATTGAAGGGAATCTCGATATCTTAAAATCTGAATCACCTAATTCTATACTACTGGAATCTTCTGATTCGAATGAGAAACTGTTGGTTAAATTCATTTGACACACAGGACTTATAAACAATCAATGAATCTTATGTTACTGTTGAATTATTTTAGGAGGTATAAATAAATGTCGTTAATAACCGTTGACATCTTAAATAAAAGAGGTTAACTCTATTATTGTATACATTTTGTGACGTCGCTTATGAAGACCCATATGTCAGCCCTAAACAATTAGAGAAATGAAGATACGACCCCTACTAATATATGATATAAAAAAACCGTAATGAGAAAATTCAAACCCAGTAGTGATATAAATGAGGTTGTTATAGGAATAACTCAGATGACCTCATAACTCTTTCAGTCATTCTAATATTGTTAATTGGTCGCCAACTCTCATTTCTTAGTGTAATATATATATAAATATGTATATTTATTAGTTGCTTTGATTATTATTGATATACATTAATAAATAACATGATCATTTTATGCAAGGTTATCATCTAATTTCTCTCCATCTTTACCATAAACGAAGAATTGGATAAAAATTACAAAATCCATAATCAATGTACCTGAACTACCTGCTAACCAAGAAGCATTTAAAAACAAATATTTATAATCTGTCGAGATAGCTAAAACCGAAGCAATAAATGTCAGGTTACCAAGACAAGCAAATAGGAAGAACAGGAATGAGATACCTTCACATGATTTTCTTTGGAAATTCAGTAATATCTGTGGAATACGAGAACCCAAATATAACAAAGCACTTAAGTAACCAAAAATTTGAGCTAATAAATTTATTTCTAACGATGGTTCATCCCCAATAGGGTGGTTACGATTTGGATTTTTGCAATATGAGATATACCAGGATATGAAACCAGCAAGAATAACAAACGATACAATTAATGTATCGCTAAACATATTCTTCTTTTTAACAATTTTATTATCCTGTTGCTCAACCTCTAACAAGATTGCCATCGCATCATCTCTTTGGTCAATAGCACCATGTGAACTTCTTCTCCTTCCATCACTAACCAACAACGGTTGGTGTTCATGGAATACATCTTGCAAGACACTCTCATTCATAGGGTTCGCAGGAGATAAATGGATTGGATCTAGTTTTTCTTCTGTACCGTACCATAGACACTGAGCTAGCAGTACAATATCAGCAACTGTATAGTAAGCAGCTAAGATTATCATAGTTGGCAAAAGTTTTTGAAGCATAGCACCTAAAAGATTGAATACATCACCAGCCAACCACAAGATGACAAAAAGTAGAGAAAGACCTTCAGCAGATTTTCTATAAAAATTCTCATAAATTTGTGGGACAAAAACAATCACCCAGCATGCAATAGAAATAGAACCAGCTATCTCACTAATATTTTGAGAATTCCACACTATTGGTACTAACTGCATTTTTATAATATTATTACTAGTATTATCTCCTTTTAACCAATAATGATAAAAAAAAATATCAAATTAAAATGAAAACCAACCAAACAAACAAAAAGAAGAACTAAAATAACCCAAACGACTCTAAACAACAGAACAATAAACTATCAATCTATTAAAGCTATCAGTATCTTGGTATATATCTAAACACTTTTTTATAAATCAAAATCCTTTCTAAGTGGAAAGCTGTCAAATTTCAATTTTTTCAATATAACCTTTTTTGTTCGTTTCAGACACTCAAGCTCTTTAAATAATGAAGAATTTCACACTTTGATAACTAGATCACTAGAAGAAACAGATATGAACTCAACAAATACCTACCTTAAATCATAAAAATATCCATTATCATTATAAGCCATTCTGTTGTCAAGTTGAACTTTCCTCATCTCATCTCATCTCATCCTCTTTGAAATTATCTTGAAAAAAATGGAAGTTTACCCGGCACAGTAGGTCGGTTGCCATAGTTAAGAGCATCTCCATTGACCTGCGACCATTGTCCACCTCAGATGTATTGATGAGCCTTCATTAAGTATGAAATACTGTATAGATGAACCATTTTCTGTTTTAACACAAAGAATTTTGTACTAAAATTATGGAATATACATGACCTTTTGTATTTTTACCATTTTCCCGTTGTTTTCTATTCACATCAGACTTGACATGTCTTTCTAGGATGTACTATTCTTATTCTTATTCTTATTCTTATTCTTATTCTATGTTATGTTATGTTATATTATGATATATTAGGTTTATTTCTATTTGTGATTTCATTGCGCACTTTCCAATTCTTTACCAAGTGCTGTTGTCTGTGGTTCTTCATCGATGAATTCCGGAATTGATCCTGATAGGTACGACGGCATATCTATACCGGCAGCTGGGTTTTCATTCATTGCCATTAAACTAGTTAAATCTTCTTCTGCAAGAGCATCTAGTTCTGCATCGAGTTCAAATTCATCAATGTCCTCAATACCTTCAGTACCATTCATTGCTAGGACATCTTGAAGTTCATTACCTTGTTCGATCAAATCAATCATTTCGTCCTGCATATCTTGCAGTTTATCGATGTCAATCTTCCCATATTGTGATTTTAGAGCTTTATTTGTTTGTTTCAAAGCATTCACTGTCACCATTGTGTTTTTCAAATTATCGCTTGTCATCTGTGCTTGTGTCATCGACCAAGACTGCGAATCCATCGAATCTCTCATTTGTTCCAACTGCTTTCTCTTATTCAACAACTTCAAAGCCTGTTGTCTCAAAGGTTTCTGTCCAGCTGACGACTTGGAATTGCTAATACGTTTCTGTAAACCTTGTAACTGGAAATTGATCTGAGATATCTGCGTATCTAACTGCGATATCCTGTTTTGTAAACCTTGTTGAGCTTGGTCCATCGCCTTACCAGATTCTTGCAAAAGCTGATCCTGACTCTTCTTATTACCGTACCCAAATATTCTATTCATCTTTTCCTAAACTACCTGATGTAACCCTGTATGCACCTCTCTTTCCTATTTTATCTGACTAAAAGGGTGAAATTTTCAAATCAATCAAATATTAAACCTGTTTCTGAACCAAAAAATTCAAAGAAAAACCCAATCTAATGATCAATAACACAATTAAAAACAGATATACACTCCCTCTGAACACTTCCAACTGCTTCTTCAGCATCTAATCATCCATTCTTTCAACTTAAAATTATACTGAAACCTTTTTTAGATATCAAAAATTCCAAGTCTTAAATCCTTTAGTGAAAAATTTAATCGATATTTTTGATATTGATTGAACAAGATTCATATAAAACAGTTTTTATCGAAACTAATTGTATTTAGAATAGTGTTTGTTAAGTTTAGATGTCAATAGAAGTAGGGAATTGGTAGAACATTTTGTTTAAGTGGTCAGATCTTAATTTTTTTTCTGTTTAAGATAAGATGAGTGCTGATAAGGTTGAAAAATTGGCTGAAGGTGTTAGTAAGCTAGACACTAGCAATGAGGCTACTAAAGAGCAAGTTATTACTCCTTGGGATGTTGAAGGTGCTGTTGATGAAGAAGGTATTGCTCAAGAGATTGATTACGATAAGTTGATAACTCAGTTTGGTACGAAACGTATTTCTGAGGAAACTTTAGAAAGATTTGAAAAAGCCACTGGTCATAAACCACATCATTTCCTTCGTAAAGGTTTGTTCTTTAGTGAACGTGATTTCACCAAGATCCTAGATTTATATGAACAAGGAAAGCCATTCTTCTTGTATACTGGTAGAGGTCCTTCTAGTGATTCCATGCATATGGGACACATGACTCCATTTATTTTCACTAAATGGTTACAGGAAGTTTTCGATGTACCATTAGTTATTGAGTTAACTGATGATGAAAAGTTTTTATTCAAACAAAAATTGACAATTAATGATGTTAAGAAGTATGCTCGTGAAAATGCTAAGGATATCATTGCTGTCGGTTTCAATCCAGAAAACACTTTTATCTTTTCAGATCTAGAATACATGGGTAAAGGTTTTTATGAAACTGTTGTTCGTGTATCCAGACAAATTACAGGCTCAACTGCTAAGGCTGTCTTTGGTTTCACTGATTCTGACTGTATTGGTAAAATCCATTTTGCCTCAATTCAAATTGCTTCTGCTTTCCCAAGTTCATTCCCTGACGTTTTAGGTTTACCAGAAAAGACTCCATGTTTAATCCCTTGTGCCATTGACCAAGATCCATATTTCAGAGTTTGTAGAGATGTTGCTGATAAATTGAAGTTCCATAAGCCAGCCTTGATTCATTCAAAGTTTTTCCCTGCTTTACAAGGTTCTACTACTAAAATGTCTGCATCTAATGAGACTTCTGCAATCTTTATGACTGATACTCCTAAACAAATTCAGAAAAAAATTAATAAATATGCATTCAGTGGTGGTCAAGTCTCTGTTGAACTACATAGAGAGCTTGGTGGTAACCCAGATATCGATGTTGCGTACCAATATTTATCATTTTTCAAAGATGATGATGAATTTTTGAAAGAATGTGCTGATAAATATAGAGCTGGTGAATTGTTATCCGGTGAAATGAAAAAAATCTGCATTGAAACATTACAAGAATTTGTCTTGGCATTTCAAGAACGTAGAAAGAACGTTGATGAGGAAACTTTGGATAAGTTTATGAAACCACATAAGTTAGTTTGGGGCCAAAAGGAAAGATTAGTTCCAGCCAAGCCAAAGGAAAAGAAGCAAAAATAATCAAATGTCTCCTTTGTACAATAATTGTATACTTCCTAATAAATACATATTTGTCTCTTATATACTTATTAAAGAATTCCATAATTGTTATAGAAATACAATTCAATAAAATAGATATCAATAGAAGACATTAAAGTTTTATTATTACATGTACTTATATCTAAATAAATTTCTATATATATAGTACCAATTGTCTGAATAAAACTGATTTTTTAATTAAGATATGGAGATAATTTTGTATTAAAATGTAATCATTAAAAATCATTATTGTTTATTTTCCAAATATTCCACTAATTGTTCAATGGAAATCAAAGGAATGTTATGGTCATGACCGAATTTTACACAATCGTCTAATCTCATCATTGAACCATCTCTATCATTGACCAATTCACAAATAACACCAACTTCTGGCAAACCACCTAGTTTACATAAATCAACAGCTGCTTCAGTGTGACCACGTCTATTTAAAACACCACCATCTACAGCTCTTAATGGACAGATATGGCCAGGCTTCAAGAAATCAGTAGCAGTAGAACTTGATTCACTTAACTTTCTACAAGTCAAAGCTCTATCATGAGCAGAGATACCAGTAGTAGTGCCTTCTGCAAAATCTACAGTAATTGTATAAGCAGTACCATGTCTATCATCAGCATTTGATTGATATTTCATACCAGTTCTTAGTAATGGCAAGTCTAATTTATCAGCAATTGCATTGGACATTGGTGCACAGACATAACCTGAACTATAACGTACTAAAAATGCCAAATCCTCAGTATGAACATTGGCTGCTGCACAAATTAAATCACCTTCATTCTCACGGGATTCATCATCCATTACAATAATGAACTTATTTTTCTTAAAATGTTCAATTGCCTCTTCAATTGGCATAAAAATGCTTGACATCTTTGCTTTTATTATATATTATATGTTATTTTATCTTTTATAGCACAATTACTATACTGCTATTGGTATATTCTTGTGTAGAGTCTCTATTTATCTGATAAGTTATCAATTACCCAAAAAGTACAACTCGAGAAAGATAAGAAGAAAAGTATTAATAGATCAACTATAAAAATTCAAGTATATATATCTCTAAATCTACATGAATGAACTTTAGAATTCAAAAATAAAAAAATTAAACAATTAAATAATTGTAAGCTAAATTCGTTGTCTCCCTCAACACACGTATATCAAAAATCAGCCATTCTTACTACAACATTTACAATTGATCAAGTAAAAAAACCAATCAATTAACTAACTAATTATATAATTCCAAACTATATGATGGAAAGAAAGCTACTTGGATGAATTGTGCCCCTTACAAGAGAGGAAGTTTAACTCA